CCATGAGTCTGTGTCTGCTCTATCCTTGGGCCGCTGTGCTTTCCATACAGAGTGGATAACCAGGTGCATTATGCAAAGCTCTGCCCCTGGGGAGAGTTTCCCTCACGGCCTCTGAGTGGGGCTCTGGTGCAGACGCTGCCAGTGTCCGGCTTGTACGCACGTACTGAGCCAACTCATTTGTGAGCCAGGCTCAGACTCTTTCTTTCTCTATCAGCTTGTCATAAGGGACCTCTCACCCCACCGTGGAGCCACAGGTATGACGAAGGGAGGGACCTCTCACCCGACCACAGAGCCACAGGTATTACCAGGGGAGGGACCTCTCACCCATCATGGAGCCACAGGTATGACAAGGGGAGGGGCCTCTCACCCCTCCGTGGAGCCACAGGTAGGAACTAGGGAGACACGCCGATGCAACAGCAGTGGATGGCTGGGGTCTGGTTACCTGCTCACCCAGGTTGCTTTTTCCTTCCACACCTGCTCATGCATGATTCTGGATGCACCAGTATCATCTTCCCTTATTGCTTCTGAGCTTACTCGATTGCATTTTAACAAGATCCTTAAGTTATCTGTGTGCATGATAAAATTAGAGAAGCACTCCATAGTAGCAGACAAACATAAGGAGAGGTGGAAGTGACAGCGCCTTCCTGCCAGAGGACACAGGCAAAGGCTCCAAGGTGAGAAATAGAACAGGGAATCTGGGTGGCAAAGGGGAGAGGGTCATAAGACACCTCTGCAGAGACAGGCAGGGGCGGATTCACTGCGGTGCGTTGGCCTCTGCGGGACCTGGGGCAGTGTTCTGTGGGAGGAATGGGAGCTGTGGGAAGGTTTCAGGCAAGGGCGTAATGTGATCGTTGTGTGTGTCCATAAATTTGTATATTACGTTGGCGTCGATGTGGAGATGGTTTGGAGGGGAAGCAGAATGAATGCGGGGTGATCGTGAGGAGACGACTGCAGGAGTCAGGGGAGAGACAATGGCGGCTTGGAATAACATAGTAGCTATGGAAATTGAGAGAGACAGAGGCAGACTTAAGCAAGTTCTCTGAGGTGGGCTTGACAGGACTTCGTGGCTGAGCAGAGGCGCACTGAGAGAAGAAGGCGGCTCGGAAGACTCCCCTGATTTTGGCATCTCGTGGTGGCTGTACTGACAAGCAGATCTGTTTGGGACACACTGAGTTTAAGGTGACTTTGAGACATCCAAGTGGCAAGGGAAGGCAAGTGTTGGGTTGTCAGAGCTGGATCCCAGGTGGGAGAGGCCCAAGTGACAGGTAGAGAATCAGGCGTCATCCCCAGGCACAGAGAGGAAGGTCACCTGCAGGGAGAGGGCAGGAGACGTGAGGAACCCTCGGCACCCTCAAGAATTCCAACATTTATAGACGTGGGGAGGAGGGGGTGGAGGGGCAGGAGGAGCCGGCAAAGGGACAAAATGGAGGCACCCACCAAAGAGACGGGGAGAAAGCAGGAGAAACAGAAACCTTGGGGAAGCTGGAGAAGCTGTGAGCATCCTAAGAACGTGCCCTCCCCCATCTGGGCCAGCACAGCATCAGGTGAGCCTTCCACACAGGTCCGTTCCTGCTACTTCTCGGCATTTCACGCAGATCAAAGGCCTTCGTCCTCACAATGGTCTCAGGGTTCTGCGCGACTGCCCCATCCCCAAGTCTGCTCCAGTCACACAGGCCCCACTGCAGTCCCAGGAACAGGCCAGGCACCCCCCGCAGGGACGCTGCTCTCCCCAGCAGGCTCCTCCCCCCGTGCCCATGGCCGCTGGGCTCACGCCCCACCACCCTCATGCCCCACTCCCTGCCTCCCTCCCGCTCCACCCGCCTCACCCCGCTCTGCAGTCATTCATTCCCTCAGCCCTCGCCAGCACCCATCATTCTCCACAATTCACTCATTTATTGTGTTTTTTATTTCCTGACTCCCTCCCTGACCAGAATGTCATCGTCACAAGGACAGGAGTCTCTGTGGATTTGTTTACTGAGCTATCCTAAGGGACAGGAACAGTGCCTGGCGCGTAGTGGGTGCTCCTTAATGATCTGTGATATCAAGGAGAAAAGCTGCTCTTTACAGGGATTTAGAGGAACCATGTGCAACCATAACAAGGATGACCTTGGTCTCTAGTCTGAGGCCATCGAAGAGCCACTGCCATCTTCACCTGGCTCTGGGACAAGGGTCCCTAGTGGGGAGTGTGCAGGGAGAAGGGACCCCTCAGTGTAGATGCCGTGGATGGAAATGCAGTGGCCCAGGGAGGATGTCTTGCTATTTAGCCCCCTTTGAGGGTTCCTGTCACTGAAAGCCATTGGGATAAATTTCTTATGATTCTCACAACTTCTCACTCTTTCCCAAGTTTTCCATTTCTCTCTACATATCTATTTTTTTAATTGAGATATAATTCACACACCATAAAAATTACATTTCAAAGTGTACAATTCAGTGGTTTTTAGTATATTCGCAGATTGTGCATCTTCACCGCTATCTAATTCCAGAACATTTCCATCACCCCCAAAAGAAACCCAAGACTTATTAGCAGTCACTTCCTCACTCAGCCCCTGGCAACCACCAATCTATTTTCTGTCTCTGAATTCGCCTATTCTGGATATTTCAGAAGGATGGAATCGTACCACATGTGGCCTTTTGTGTCTGGCTTCTTTCACTTAGCATAACATCTTCAAGGTTCATCCATGCTGTAGCATGTGTTAGTGTGCCATTCTTTTGTGTGGCTGAATAATATTCCCTTATATGGCTATACCAATTTTGTCATCAGTTGACACAGTTGGGTTGCTTCCACTGATGGCTATTATGAATAACACTATGAACATTTGCGTACAAGTTTCTGCGTGAACATATGTTTTCAATTCTCTTGAGTATATACCTAGGAGTGGTCATATGATAATTCTGTTTAACTTTTTGAGGACTTGCCAGACTGTTTCACACAGCATCTGCACCATTTTCATTCTCCCCAGCAGTGGATAAGGGTTCCAATTTCTCCACATCCTTGTCAACACTTGCTATTGTCCATCATTTTGATTCTAGCCATACTAGTGTTGTGAAATGGTATCTCATTGTGCTTTTGATTTGCATTTGTTTAATGACTAATGAGTTTGAGTATCTTTTCAGATGCTTATTGGCCATTTATATATCTTCTTTGGAGAAATGTCTATTCAATTTCTTTCCCTGTTTTTAAATTGAGTTATCTTCTTATTGTTGGGTGGTAAGAGTTTTTTAATATATTCTGCATATTAAATCTTTATCAGATATGTGGTTTGCAAATATTTTCTCTCATTCTGTGGTTTGTCTTTTCAATTTCTTGTAGCATCTCTTGAAGCACACACACAAAAAGTTTTTAGTTTCATAAAGTCCAATTTATTAATTTTTTTATATAGTTCCACAGACTCTTTAGATCCAGTGCCTGGATCCCCTCTGACAAGAAAAGGAGGGTGATTGCAGATGGGCACAAATGAGAAAGTGACAACTTTACAGCCATACTAATAATACAATTATTTAGAAAATTGCCTTTCACCAGACAGTATAATTTCTGTCGGTGGATACAAGCCAACTACAGATCACATACAAGCCATCGTCTTCTATTCCATTCAGCTGGATGGATTTATGGCACCGACTAATGGAAAATATCATTGTAGAGAAAACCAGTTAGTATTCATGCCACTTAAAATATGATTTCTAAATTGCTTAAGCCTATCTGTCAAAAGCTCAATGGAACATTTAAGATCAGCGTCATATAAAAGCAATACTCTGTGAAGTGATTTCTGAACTGTGAATTTGTGTTTCAGACTTAGCATCTTAGAGCGCAGAGACCGGACAGATTGCTGTGTTGGAAGAGTCAGCCCATTTCCCCAGAAGTTTGTATCTGAATCATACGGGTATATTCCAAGGAACATAGGATCCAGGTTCATCTCTTGGAATCTAGAATAAAAGAACAAATTTGGACGTTGGCAACTTGGAAAATGGTGGTGAGAGGTAAAAAACAGCAAAATATGAAATAGGATAAAAAGCACCCAGAAGGCAAGCAGGACAAGGAGAGGTTTTGGCAGGACAGCCTGAGAATGTGGAGGGATCCAGGAGAGGAGCACAGTGGGCAGGGCAGCCGTGAGAGTCGTCATCTCACCCTTGAAGGGGGACAAATGAAAAGGGGAGTCAGTCTCTGTGTTTCTCCAGTGTGAAGACGTGACTCATGGGGCTCAGGGAAAGCTACGGGGCACCGCAAGGAGCCAGCAGAGGAGGGAGTGGAGCAGGGGGCTCTGCCTCCAACATCAGGAATGACTTGTCTGTGGTCAGAGAGGTCACTGTGATCCGGATGACTTCCTCCCACAATTAAAGATCTCGTTGCCCAAAATGACCAACGAGAGCTGAGAAGTTCGCTCCGCAGAGGTGCTGCTTGGCCGGGGGGTCAAAGGAGGGATGCCTGCCACTGGGCCTGAGCCAGAAAGAGCCCTTCTCACTTTGCCTTCAAGTTGGGAACTGCCCTCTCCCAGCACCTGTTTGTGGTGGAGTGACACAGGCAGGTGGAATGGCCCCTACATCCTTGGCCTGAGGGTCTTAGGTTCAGAGCACAGTTCCTGCACTTCTATTCCTGACACGGTGTTCTGGGAAGTGACCAGAACAAGGGAGGAACATATAACTGACCAATGAAGAATGAACCTTCTTTGTTCAAATGCTGTAGACCTGAGCCCTGCGGGGGGCCAGGCAGGGCCAGGCTGATGACAAATGCAATCCAAGGGCCACTCTGCTTTTCTCCTGCTCGAATGCCCTTTTCTTCCATGGAAAACCACCATGGTGGGTTCATGAAACTGACTACAAGGACAGGGGACAAGGATTTAGAATCTCGAGAGCAGAATGTACCATTTTTGTGAACTTATCTTCACAGGCCATTCTAATCTTCTCCGGGGTCAGTGGACTATCGAGCTTCAGGGGTCCAAGCAGGCCTCTCTCCTGTCGTGCTGCTCTCACCGCGTCATGGATGGCGAAGAAGACTGAGCACCCCAGGAACACCCCAGGCTCTCCCAGACCCTGGGGGGAAACAAGTCCCCTAGATTACAACTCTTTCTCTGTATACACACGTACACGTGAATCTACAGGTACATACTGTTTGTACACATAGATAAAATATTAAATATTCTATATGGAACTTTTTCCTTTAAAAAGTCATTTAATATTTTAACCCAGTATTTTCATTCTTAGGATTCCAGCCTAAGGAAATGATCCCAGATGGAGAAGGCAGATAAAGGTATGAAGATGATTATTGCAAAACAAAAAATCAGATACAACCTGAGGGTGACAGCAGTTTGTTAGGCTCCAAGATCCAGAGTATTTTTTTTTAATTTATGATGTTGTTAAATTACTTTATAATTAAAATGTTTAATAGGGATTTTTCTTCAATAATCCTGGTAAAAATCCCAAATGACCAAGAGACGAACGGAGCCCCCTCCAGGGTATCACACAAACGCGCATTTACTCCTCGCGCTCGGCTCACCTTAGATGAATACAGCGTATTTGAGTTTTGAGACGGAGGCAGAAAAGAAACGTGCAGCTCTGTGGGGACGTCAGAGACAGCCGGGATTTTATACTGGTCGGGGCCACGAGTGTACAGAACTCCCTGAGGAGAATACTTCAGCTCCTCGATTGTATAGAGGCCCATGCCTTGAATAAACGCACCTTCAATCTGAGGCAAAATAAAAGAGATTCCACAGATGAGAAAATATAGTCAACAGCGGCATTTCACTTCATGCTGCTTATTTAAATTTATAAAATACCACTTAACAGGGTTTTCAGCGTGTCTTGGAGCATGTCTGTAAATTTACTTAAAACGTTACCTAAAAGCATTTCTAAACATCTTATTCTGCACTAAGTTCAAAGTCAAAAGACTTGAGTTCGAATCTCAGCCCAGAGCCCAACGCCCTCATTTCCCTGCCCGGGACGCAGATGAAGCCCCCTCTGCGGGTCTGTTCACAGACCCCAGCACAGGTTCTCTCAGGGCTCCAGAATCCGGTCCTCTCATCCACTACCCTTGCTCCCGAGCTGGCTGGCCTCACATCTCCGGACTCAGTTTCTCTGCTTGTAACATGAAGGGTTTGGACTGTGTGCTCTCTGAGCTTCCCATACAGCTTTAAATGCTCCAGTTCTTAGAAGTCAGCACGTGGCCAAACTACCTTTCCACACACTTTTCTGACTTCCGGGTCTCTTCTTCCTTTGCTTCCTTCCTGTGGCCACATTTTGTCCACCCCACTCTCCATCCTCACTTCCGTCTACTGCCAGGGGTGTTCTCCTCCACCACGACGTTAGATGACTCTTCCCACAGGTCCAGACCACTCCCCAGCACAAGTCACCTCCACCTGCTAAGTGAGGTGCCCGTCCTTAAAGAGTCTCTTGCCAATTATTTCAAATTGAAATAAAAAATGTCTGTGGACAAAATGGACTACCTGCCAATGCTACTGCTGTGACTGTGCGGCCGTGCTATCCTAGCCCAACTTTCCGCTCCCGGATCTGGAGCCCGTCCTCCGCCCGAGGCTCAGCACTGGCACGACATTGTCCTTCTACGAGGTGTGGGGCTCACTTCGTCACCTCTAGGCCTAGTCCTGCCACATTCAAGCTCCCCAATCACAGACTATATGTTTCTTCAAAAACTACCTAAAACATCCATGTTTCCTTCCCAATTTCAAACAGTAAGAGGTTTGAGTTCTGGGGCTGGCCTGAACGGAAAGATTCAGACGACAGGGCAGAAGGACAGCCTGATGACCCAGCCTGACAGAGTGCTTCCCTGCAGGCGCCCACAGCAGTCCTGGCTTCACAGACAGGAAGGAGGCAGCTCAGTTTACGTACCTGGCCTACGTCAAGGGCTGGGTTTATACTGTGGCCAATGTCCATGACAATGTCTGTTCTGATGTTCTAGTAAGAAAAACAAAAATGTTTATTTCAACGAATACAACTTAGGGAGAAAAAGTGAGAAATAGTTCCTGCCAGGATGACATTGGTACAGAACCTTTCTTTGGGCCACATTATATTTCAGGAGGGAGAAGCAACCAAGATTTCATTGTGTCACAAAGTTTATTATGTATAACTGTCAAAGTTACACAAATACTCAACTGGCTTAAGCACTGATTTTTTTATTTCTTGGAAACAAGAGAGAAAAATATTCACTTGACTTTGATTCCAGTTGAGTGATGCAACATACTGAGTTCAATCCACTAGCACAGACATAACGTGACACAGAAAACAGAAAACATCCACGGCCTTCGTGATCCTTGTTGAAAAACAGCGTGGCCACCACCCAATCCAACATCCAGAGTCCAAGTGGCTGGGTGAGATTTACCAAACCACAGAACTCAGGGTGCATCAGCAAAAAGGTCTTTCAATTGCTTAGATTTTCCTTTTGTAGAGCAGAAAAAATAAATCTGACATTCCACTTGGTGACCAAAAGTTTCCTGATGACCTACAAATGAGGAGGAATCCAGCAGGCCCAGGCAGCTGCTGGTAACCCCTTTGCTCTCCAGCAAGGCTGTACCTTCTTTTATGTGACATAGTGGCTCTTGCCATGGCAAACAGATTCTACCTATAATTATTAATGGAACAAAGGAAACCCAAGAGTTTCCTTATTTGATCTGGGACTTTCATCTAACATTTTTCTTAAGAAAATTAGATAGCGATCCAGAATGTTTTACTATAATAAAACTTCAGGCACTCACCTCTTTTATTTAAAGATACAGTGAAAACTGTAAAGTTCTCTTTGACCCCATTTAGCAAGGCTGGCCTCCCAGGAGACCAGTGGCCTGAATGGGAGCTGAGGGCAGGTGCTCTCAAGGCTGCAGTGTTAATGAAGGCTTTGTGTCAAAGCTTTGGACTTACTACTGTTTGTCACTGTCTTCTGATAGGGCTGCAGAGAGATGTTCTAGGTGGTGGTAGCCAGCCTCCAAGATGGCCTTCAAGGATCCCCACCTCCAGGTATTCACATCCTTATGTAGTCCCCTCCACACTCTACCAGCGTGGTTGGTGTGACCATTAGGGTATGGCAGAACTACCAGTGCGTCACCTCAATATTAGGTTATGAAAGACTGTGGCTTCTGTCTGGGATGCTCTCTCACTTCCTCAGACTCTCTCTCTCTTTTTCCTTTGGACCAGTCCCTGTTGGGGGCAGGGGAGGGCAGCTTTCACATCCTGATGACACTCTGGCAGCCTATAGAGAGGTCCATGTGGTAAAGAACAGAGACCTCTGGCCAAGACCTGGCGAGAAACTGAGGCCTCCTGCCAGTAGCCATGTGATGGAGCTTGGAGTCCGACTCTCCAGCCCCCTTGAGATGACGACAGCCCCAGCCAACAGCTTGACGGCAACCTCATGAGGATTCCTGAGCCAGAATCACCCAGATAAGCCACTCCAGATTCCTCATCTTCAGGAATGGTGTCAGTTAATAAACATTTGTTATTTTCAGCTGCCAAGTTTGGGGGTAATTTGTTACACAGCAATAGATAACTAATATACAGATGCAGGTTCAAAATTAGGGAACTTTTGCAGGAAGAAGAGCGATTCTGTGAACGTGAGGAGAATGACTGAGAAACAGCCTCCATGGAGACCCCCCTCTTGCCTGGGAGTGATACCCAACGTGAGCTACAGACCTAGCTTGTGTGAAGGCATCTGATAAGACTTCTTAGCACGTCTCTTAAGAGTTCAAGTGAGTCATAAGAACACATCTTAAAATTTCATACCAAGGCTAATTATTAGCTTGGTCTTAGATCTTAATAAGGGCATAGAGAAAATGCAAATGAGCACGTTTTCACCAACTTTTTCACTGACGGAGAAGGAATGCAGAAAGCAGCATGAGAGAACTTTCTAGTGAGCTCCCTACACAGGAGCGCTGCTCTGGGGTGAAAACCACGCTTAGCGTGGTCACTGTGTTGCCCTGGTCCAAGGTTCCCCAAAAGTGATGTGGTCTGAGTCAGAGTCCAGGCAAGCCAGACACCTGAATGGGCAGATTCAATACAGGTGTACACAATTTCAAAGATTAGGCTGACTGTAGTTTAAAAAACATACATGCTGGAGACACATTAAACCAAAATTTATATCTGATCACAATCCAAGATGTAGTCACAAAGGACGTTTGATAATATCAAGCACTAGGGCTCGCTTCTGGGTAGGATTTTGGACAGATAATCACATAACAGTTATGAAGGCATCACAGTGCCATTTAATGTATTGACGATCATTTATCATTATTGACAGTGGCTAGTAAGTGGCTTCATTTACCCCCAAAGGCCCAGTGTCAAGAGGACACACTCCATGAAGCAGCAATGCATATGTGTGACTGTGGGTGTGCATCTCAGCCTAGCATCCTTTAAAAGCACAAGGATGCTCTTAAACTAACAAAGCAGGGATCTAGCTGGATAAAAGATATCAAAAGCTGGCCACTAACTTCCCTGGGCTGGCCCGTGGTGCGCGTTAGCAGATTACAGATGCTCATGAAATCCTTTGAGAAGGGTGTACCATGGCATCTCACACAAGAGGTCAGGACTTCTGGTTGTGCCAACAGTCCACACAAAAGCTCGCTTTAGGCTGTGCTTCTTCCTTGAAGCAGTTTATTTCCTGATTCCATTTAAAAGGGCCAAGGAAATAAAGAAGAGAGGCCACTGTTTTTTCCATGGAAGTAACCATAGCACCAAGACAACTGTTGAGCGTCTAGTCCTTCTGGGGGTGCAGAGAAATTACCCCTAGGCCAAATACACAGTGCTTCTATGCTGCACAGATAGAAGGAAAATGCGGAATTGAGGTGGATCTAGGGGAAATTTGAAGACTCCCCCAGCTGGGACTGACCTTATGCGCACCTGTCAGGCAGTCTATTTCCACCTCGGAACAGGCAGCTCCAAACACAAAGTATTCGAAAGGATGGCCTTCGCCCGTCTCCCAGTTCATGTGTGACTCATAACCCCTGGAGGAAACAGAGTTCTTGAGGAGTGCTGTTAAGTGACCAAGTCCCCTAACTGCAGACCATGATGAGTAAACAGACCCATGAGAAGCTGCGCTCCATTTTTATGCACAGCAAAGTAGAGGAGTACATTTGCACAATGATGGGCCAGCACACAATGCATGCCATCAATCTGTTGGATAAATAAATATTTACTTCTTATTAAACTTGCTTTCTCTGATAAAAATATCCAATCGCTCCCCATCAATGACTCCTTGTGCCTGGAAGTTAGCTGCAGACTCTATGGTTACCTGTGCTCTTGCTTTTGGCTAATGTTGGATCATGCAATCCTACTGTCATCAGATGCGGGGAATTCAACCTGCATTTTACACCAAACACTGCTTCAGAGATGCATACTTGCCCATTCGTCTATCTTTCCAGCTCCAGGATTCAGCCTCTGTGCAAAGGATCGGGCCCTTGCCTTTCAATCTTTGCCACTACTCTGGTCCCCACGGCCTGCTCTGTTCCCAGCTACTCTCTAAGGACACCAAGTGAATGTCATGGTGAAAGAGAAGCAAGGGCCAGCAACCTGCCAGCACTTTCTATCCTTCTCTCCTCTGCTCCCCCCAGACTGGAGGTAGCCATGAAAAATGCTTCCAGTGCTCATTCCTGATAGCCAGCCAGGGCCCTGGACTCCCATGACAACTGGCAAACTGACAAAATCAGGGAGGACTCTCTGTGTCACCCTGTTCTCGGATGGCTTTTACTCTCCATTAAAATAATTTGAGAGGTTGTTTTCCAAAGTATCTGAGTTCTACTTGTTCCACATCTTGACAACACATAGTTATTGTCAAATTTCCTACTTTTGCCAATCTAGACGGTGTGAAATGGTATCTGTCTTATTATGGGTTTCACTTTCATTTCTTTACGTGTTTCTTAACTTAAAAGATACACCAAGTTTTCAACAGAACGTCAACCTCTGCTGTGGGTTCCACGCACCCACCCACGGAGAAGCCTCTGGCTCTACCCACTACCAGCTGACTCTTTAATTCACCTGCATTTTATTTGCATGCCTGTTTTTCCCAACCAAAGCCTTTCTGGGCATTTGGATTAAGTAAAAGCTAAATGTTCTTTCTAACAGTGGGTTAATAGAAGGTATAAATCAGTTTTTGCCAAAATTGCAAACAGAAGTGAAACTCTTCCTCAAGATACCGCACTACTGCCCACAGAATGTTGGGAAAGGACTATTTACCTGAAGTATCCAGTCGCTGAGAGACTAATGCTTTCATCAAAAGCAGCCTGCGCCTGGGAAAGAAGAATATAACGTGATGCAGAGAGGATGTTTACAGTAAGAACCACTCGAGACTTCGATTTTAATTTTACTGTGTGTTAAATAAAGCTACCAGTAGTAATAACTAGGAAGGACCAAGAGTAATTTACTCCTCTCAGCATTCTCCACCGCCACAGGCATTTGTGGTCCACTGCTCGTAGCGACAGCGTTGTCCAATGCGTGTGGTCATAATCACATGGTATGTTACACTTATAGTCTGGACTATAGTGGGCAACGCGTGCTCTGCTTATGAAGAATTTCACTCAGTCATCTGTAAAGACTTAACCCGTTAACATGGAACATTTTGGGAAACAATGGGTGGTTGGATGTTTAATTTTAATATCATGCATATATAACAGTCTCAGGAGAGGGGTATAATTTTGCCAAATTGCTCCAGTTATACCAAAGGTTCTGCTGATTCTGCAGTGCACACAGTTGACTAATATACAGAAAAGTGGAGGTGAGGTCCAAGTCCCCAAGTCTGAGAAAGAAAAACGTACGAAGTGCAACCATTACAGGAGGAAGTGGGCTGAAGGGCGCATTTCACAATGGTGGAGAACTGACTCTCTTGCTCTGCATCTCTCTCCAGCTTTCTCCAATCAGGCTCTCTCAGCTTCCGGGGCCCAGGTAGCCAGGGCAGAGGGCAGGAATAAATATGCCCAGAAAGGATTGAGAGCTCCAATTATATGGATTATGGAATGAATCCTAACTCTATGGAATAGCAGGAACCATTTCTAAGTAAGACTCCGCAAATCTTATCTTCTCCAGACCAATGCTTTTAATGTGACATTCTAGAACAGTCAGCAGGACACATACTCCCAGCTTTTACTGATAGCCATTCCACACGATGTGGTACTTTAGAACCTATTACTCTGTAAAGTTTGCCTATTGACTTTAGAATGTGTATCTTCTCTTCCAAGTAGATTGCTAGAAGATGAAAGGAAGCAGATGAGGGTTCCCATTCCATCCGGTGTCCACTCCTGGTGGAATGTACACCCAGTGGCTTGGTTTCCTATTTCTAAATGAGTGCTCACATGATTTTTACTTTTATAGAAGGATTCTGGCGTTATCTTCCCATTTTAGGGACAGTGGAACCCAGTGTAGGAGAAGAAACAGATTTACAGCTATTATCTACAAAATACCTAGTCACCAGTGGAAAAAACCTTAATTAATTATTGGTTAAAACAAGAGTTCTCTCTAATGGAGAATTTTCCCAGATGTTAAGAGTTCCGCCACCATCTTACAGGATTTCCACATGCCGAGAGCCAAAGGGCCCCCATTTATCACTATGAAATAGTGCCTTTTAAAGCCCTTTCTTCTGATATTTAATTGTCACCTCTCTCTCTCTCATTCTCCACCCTCCTTTTTTTTCTAACATAAAACACAAAGTAACAACGATTCTCACCCAATCCTTCCACGTGCCTTTAGGATTCTTGCTGATGATGGGTTCAAGGCGTTTTAGAAGAGTTTGACAAGCATCCTAGGGATTATTTTTTGGTTAAAATTATGATCATAATTTCATGGAAACACCAATTTCAAAACCACCTGATATGTGCTATTACATCAGCTCATTTGAGAGGCCGGTGAGAATTCGGAGAAGGAAGAGACCAGCCCTGTGAGTGATGTGAAGGCTGCACGGGTAGGGGGCAGGGCGAGCTGGTCTTAAGGACAGGCCCTAGGATGGGGGCCTGTAGCCAAGCTAAGAAGTCAGGACTTCACAGAGCAACTGTTGGCAAACCGCTGCCACTGTTTCTAAACACGGCATGGTCGGAGTTACTCTGTGCGAAAGCTCGCCCTGGCAGGAGCAGCTGGGGGAAAGGTGAGGGCTCTAGAGTGCAGGGACACGGCCTTGCACGGCACTGGCGGCAGGTGCACATCTGGATCAAAGCAGCTGTGTCACCACCACACGGAAGTGGAAAGACACAGTGAGTAGAGTCGAAATGACTGCTGGCCAGTGAGATGTCAGGAGTGAGGGAGACAAATGGGGACACTTCCAGCTCAGGAGCGCCCCTGGGGGCTGCAGCACTGACTGAGCCCCAGTCGGGGCGGCCGGGGTGTGGTGA